TGGAGTCTAAGATGGACTCAAACTTGGTATGGATTGAGCCTCCAACTTAACTTGGACGCCCACATTAGCCTCCAAAGGTGGTGGTCAAGGAGGAAAACGTCTTTAGACATCCTTTAGGTGTTCTCCACATAGTTGGGGTGTGTTCTCACTTGGGTTGGGCTAAGGTCCCAAAGGAATTAATAGGCCTATGGTGACGTCGTAGTATCTAGTAGAAACAACAGAGCCTTAATGATTTGGTGGCCTTTTTGACGTGATATTGAGATGATGTTAGATCCTTAATGATTTGGTGGTCTTTCTGATGCAATATTGAGGTGAGTTAGATCCGTTTGAAAGCTTTTCAAATAATATTTCCATCAAGTACTCATTGACCTCAACTGCACTCTAGGTAAAAGAGTAATGGCCTTCCCAATGAAATATTATGGGGTTGACGATGAACCAAATATTGTGCTTTGATAGTATAGCATCCTCCAATTGTTCCCAAAAGACATTGAAAGCTGCAACATTAGGTCACGACATAAATACCCCCTTAATTTAATTATACAACTAAATTATCAACATCTTCTGTTACAAACAGTTTATCTCTACTATTGGGGACCAATCAAAACTATACAAGGTGCCCCCAAAAAACGTACCCCGCTGAGAGACTCCAACCTGTGTGCACCAACGAAATTGTACCCAGGATTACAACATCTCTATCTCTACTATAAGAGACCAATCAAAACTATACAAGGTGCCCAAAAAAACATACCCCGCTGAGAGACTCCAACCTGTGTGCACCAACAAAATGGTACCCAGGATTATAACATCATTAAAATCTATGTCTCATAATTCTTCCTCATATGCTTCAACTCAATCGGATGGCCAATGTTATTTGGATCTCCCACGCTAGGCTTCAACGCACCTCACGCCCCCTCCACCACAGCGACGCGCCTCACGCCTGAAGAGCAAGGATCGAATCCCAGTCCCAAAAAATATACAAAAGAAAAAAGTTTCCTTTGAAAAAAAAGAAGTTTCCTTAGCTCTTCACGCGCCTCACGTCATAGCGGCCGCTCGCCCTGACGCTCCTCCAATCCGCCGTCGCCGAGTCTTCCTCTGCTGTGCTGCTCGATGCCATCTACACGCTACCGGCCGCCTGCACACGCTGCCGTTGTGACGCGGTGCTCGATTTGATTCCTAGGTGAAGCCGCACCGTCCATCATCACGTGCGGACGCTAAGAAGATGGTGTGCATCCTAAATACAAGGCAACAAAACGTCCACCATCAGCTGGAGCAGTGAAAGTGCATTTGCCCTCTATGTGGATTTTGGTATATTGATGACATCCAAATTATGGACTAATGAGATCTTAATGAGATATATTGCAGCTTTGGTCCCTTAAAAGTTTTAAAGAGTTGATTTAAGATGAAATGACATCCCTCAATTCTTCAAATGTAAAAGGCGAACGAACCCAAAGCGCGCTTCAAGTATTTTTAATTTTGTTTTGGCTTTAGGTATGTCATACTATAAAGAGAGATGCAAGTTTAGATGGTCTGAGGAAGATAGAGTGCTCAAGCATAAAAATAAAATCAAAAGAGAGACACAAAATCACCTCACGAACACTTAGATATAGTTCTTGGACTTTTGGTAGTCGGAAGTTCCGACATGTGGTGCCGAAAGTTCCGGCACTTGAGGACTTAGCCATCAGCCCGCCTACGCTCGCTCGTCGGTCAAAAGTCTCGACGGGAGTCGGGAGTTCCGGGTGCCGGAAGTTCCGGCTCCGCCGGAAGTCCTGGCGCTTTGGGACTTAGCCCCCTGGCTCGGCTCTGGGTCGGGAGTTCCGACGTGAGTCGGAAGTCCCGACTGCCAAAAGTTCTGGCGTTCCGTCGGAAGTTCCAGCTCTAGCTGTGTTGACCACCTTTGACTGCACCTTGAACAGTGTTTTACAGAAGGGCCAGAAGTTCCGGCGATCTGTGTCGGAACTTTCGACCCAGATCTGAACGGTTAGATTTCACTATGAGTATAAATAGTTCTCTCATCTCTTCTAACCGTGAACCACTCATTCATTGCTCACCAACCTTCGTCCAAAACAGCTCCCAAGCATTCAAGGCACCCCTCTTCTCTCCCATTTTCTCCAATCTTTGATTCCCCTAGGGTTTTGAGTGAAAGGAGAATGGATTGAGTGAGAGAATCACTTTGGTAAGCTTGAGCACTTGATTTCTTCGTCAAGCTGGTTGGATTTACGTCTATTACTCTTGGGTTCTTGGAACCCTAGCCGGCTAGGCATCGTCCAAGAGCTTTCATCTTGTGGAGGAGCCTGGGAAGTTTGTATTACCCTTGATTTCTTAGTGAAAATCTCAAGTAACCTTTGTGGTTGCTTTGAGAGAGGCAAGGAGGTGGAAGAGACTCCGATCTTGGTGGTCACCTCAACAACGAGGACATAGGAGCTCCTTTGTGGGGTTGCCAAACCTCGAGATAAAATTTTGTGTCTCACGTGCTTATTGTTGTTGTGATTTGTTCTATCATATCTGTTTTTGTTGGTTTGTCTTCCTCTCTAACTCTCCTATTACGGTTTAGACAATCTACGGAGTGGTGACCTTCCGGCGTCAAAGGAGCAACCCCAACACTTCGCCTTACCACTAGCTAGGGAGTGAGGTTGTAAGATATATCTTTCACTCAAAGTTCATTTTAGCACTTGTAGTGAAATTCACGTAGGTGCCAGAACTCTCGACTGTTTGCGTCGGAACTTCCGGCTGCCGGAAGTTCTGGCCCAAACAGTCGGAACTTCCGACCGTCACTGATATTTGACTTTGAGTTTACTTAGAAATTTTTAGATATGTCTATTCACCCTCTCTAAGCATTGTTTAAATCCTTTCGAACAGCCAATGCTAATCTGCTACATCTACAGCGACCGGCGAGGCCGCCTGCGTCGACGCTGGTTACGGTGATCTGCGCTCTTCCCTTCACTCACTCTCGCTACCTCTCGTAAAATCTGGGCAATTCCCAGATCGTCTCTGCGTGGAAAGCGATCAATGTGTTTCAGTTCGTTAGTTCATCGTGTGGAAAGTACGGAAAATTTGCCGTCCAGAGCTCCAGCGACAGGGAAGACAGGTGCGTGATGAGAACAATGGCCATATGCTTTGCTGCAGGCGCAGCTATCCGTGCGATTAGCAACAAACTACTCTGATCTGCGTTGCGCACAAACTACTCTGATCTCAATGATTTGACATTCATGTTCTATTTTTTCATTCAAGCGTCACAAACTTGTTTATTTCATTCATTGTTTATTTAATTCAGTTATCTCATCCATTCCTTTAATTGCTGTCTTATGGATCTTTTTTCACCCTCTCTTGGACAGATTTATTTCAAAATGAACCCAATCATACCAAACTGTAAACATTGTCCTTAAGGTTTATGGTTTTATTTTATTATTTTCGGTAAAGCCTTGATCTTCTGTTATTCGATATTTCATCAAATTAACTTCTTCCTATTGCGAGCTGTCTATATATTTTCTCTTTTTTTCTGGAAGGTCCCTTGTTCATCAATAATGCCATGATCAAATTACATGACACTCAGATTGTAGCCACATGAAGAACGCTACTTGGCCATGTAGATTATGGTTTCATAGTCTGATCGGTGCTAGAACATTTTTATTACATGACATGTTTCCTTGATGTAGTAGTTATAATTGATCCTAGGTTTATTTGCCAATCTAGAAATTAGAAAGCAATTTAAATTTTTTGTATGGAATGATAAGTTCTGAAATGAAATTTATTTTTTATACTACAAATATGTCTTGCATTTACCACAAAGGGATTCCCATCAGGATTAAATGCATCTATTTTCTCATTGGAGTTTTCTCAAGAATGAGCCTTTAGCACTTAGCAAGGTTAGATTCATCTCAATGCAGGAAAGCAATTGTTTAGAACATCGGCCATTTTCGTCAAGCAAACCATAAGTTTCCATAGCCATGGGCTTCTTTGTCCAACAAAAATTAAAGAAGACCACTCGAGATGGCATTGTCAAGATGGTGGTCCTCTAATAAAATAATAGGAGAGTGAATCTAGAGCTAAGGTCCTAACTGTTGGAGGACAATGAATAGTTATAAAACATAACATTATTATTCCTCTAATGTTTATATGATTTTTCCCATAGACACGTGAATTAATGAATATGATTGTTCGTTGTATGGTAATTAGTGGAGTTGGAATGTAATTGTTTAAAAAGAAAAACATCGTAATGTAATTTTAGAGAGTGTCAATTTGTGAAATACTTTTTTTTCTATAGCGAGGCATAACATTTTCTTTTTTCTTTTTGAAGATATTTAAGTCAATGTCAATAAAAAAGATTTCCTAAATCATACGATTGGTTTGCATTGTGCTGTGTTGAGCTGTAATGGCCAAGTCTTATGCAGGGAACCACCTTTTGTTTGTTTTAGTTTGCATATATTTCAGATCTAATTTGCATATACCCAAATGTTACCGTAGCGTTAGCACGGCACTACACTAGTTTAGTTGATAAACCAACTCGTGGTGTGAATGTGCCAACCAGTATCAACTAAATTATCAACATATATCTTCTATTACCCCCTTAATTATACAACTAAATTATCAACATATTCTTTTACACAATTATACAACTAATTTTTTACCAACTAAATTATCAACATCTTCTATTACAAACAGTGGAACATTCGCACACGTGGTGGTTTATTTTGATTGGGAAGACTTGAATTACACAATACACAATTCAACTGGCAATAATATAGCTCGGCAATGAGCTTTATTTCCCCCTCACAGGTCACTCGACGGCAGCGAGAAGAAAAGGCAGCAGACCACACAACCACTCCATGAAAATAAAATTCCCGGCAATGGCGTAGCAGCAAATCACTGTCACTCTGCAAGTAAAAACACAGTGGAGATATCGATGGCCCGTCGACCATCCGGGCCGCGGCAATGGCGTAGGCGTAGGCGTAGAAGCACGCAATAATCAAAGCCGGAGATACGATGGTGCTCATGCATGATGATCAGTAATGTGTCTCCTCTCTCTTGAGGAATCTCTCCATCCACTTGCTGGACTGCTTGCGGTAGCGCTTGAGGCCGTTGAGGCGGTCGATGAAGATGAGGCCGAAGCGGTCCAGGTATCCGTCCCCCCACTCGAAGCAGTCCATGAACGTCCAGGTGAAGTAGCCCTTGACCTTCACGCCGTTCCTGATCGCGTGGTTCACGAACTGCAGGTGCTGGGAGTGGAACCTGATCCTGTGCCCGTCCCTGAGCGCCTCCCTGAGCGGAATCTGCCTGCTGTTCTCCTCGGCGATGCCGTTCTCCGTGACGTAGACGACGGGGTCGTTGTACCGTCGCTTGGTGTAGAGCAGGAGCTCGCGGAGCCCCTGCGGGTACTCGAAGAAGATGGGCACGAACTCCGGCTTGCCGATGGGCACGCCGTCGCGGAACCCGGAGGTATTGGCGCGGATGTCGCCGTCGTAGGTCTGCTCCAGCCCGTTGGCCGGCGGGGGCTTGTTGGCGGCGAAGTAGGTGGTGTAGTAGTTGACGCCGATGAAGTCGTAGGAGCCCCTGACGAGCTTGGCCTGCTCCGGGGTGAACCTGGGCAGCCGGGCGCCGAGGTAGGCGCGCATGGTGCCCGGGTACTCGCCGCGCGCGAGCGGGTCCATGAACCAGCCGTACATGAAGTCCAGGCTGCGCTGCACGGCCCTGGCGTCGGCGGTGGAGTTGGACGCCGGCACGAACCAGTGCGACACCGCCGTGATGCCGATCTGCCCGCGCTGCGCCGGCTTGTACCTGGCGTTGTAGAGCGCCACCGCCTCCGCGTGGGCGAGGAGGATGTGGTGCGTCACGACGTAGGGCTCGCGGCCGGAGTCGCCCGGGGTGCAGGAACTGGAGACGAACGGCGAGCACCGGCCTGGGGCGTGCGCGCCCGTGCCGTAGCCCTGCGACGCGTACGTCCATGGCTCGTTGAACGTGGTCCAGAACTTGACGCGGTCGCCGAATTCTTTGAAGCACACCTCCGCGAAGTCCACGTAGTCCTTGCTGCACGTACGTGTGTATAGTATGTGCGCGGTTAGTTTAGTTCATTAAGTAGAGCCCCTGATGGCATGTGGTAGTAGTATGTAGTTGCACATACATGATGTTTTCACTGAGGAAGCCTCCATACTTGCTTTCCAGGGTCTGGGGTGTGTCCCAATGGAAGATGGTGACAAATGGCTTCAGCCCTATCACGAGATCATTGTTATTGTTATTTTTTTTATTTCAGCGGTGTCATCGTTGACGATCTATTGATTATATGTAAGTATATGTATATATGCTGCATGGATGCCAAGGACAATTTGTTAATTGATCAACTACCGTTTGCTATGACCTCGTTGATGAGGCTGTTGTAGAAGGCCACCCCCTCCTTGTTGATTCCTCCGCTGAGGGAACCAGCTGCAGCAGCAAGCACGTGGTGACACACAACTCAAAGCGAAGCAATTCATTCAGTGATCTGAATGATCAGATGGAGATTATGCGTTTGCGAGTACTCACTTGGCAGGATCCTGGTCCAGGCAATGGAGAACCGGAACGCATCCATGTTCATGTCCTTCAGCAGCTTCACGTCCTCCTGCAAATTGGTCAGATTCATTAGCGATTTCAAAATGCTCGATCGGATCGGATCTCATACTATAATGACAGGAAGTCATCCTGTCACCTTGTATCGATGGTAAAAGTCATCCGCAACATCGCCAGTGTCATTGTTCCTAATTTTACCTGCATCCATACGCAGATTTTCGGCATGTCAGTTACTAGCCGGTCTCTGCACGCAGTTCATCTGGAGAAAATGCAGATGCGGGCTCATCACGATGAGAACGTATGTACCTGGGATGTGACTGAAGGTATCCCAAACGCTGGGACCTTTGCCTCCTTCCTTGTATGCGCCCTCGTACTGCAATGCAATGCAAAGCCATCAAACGCGAGGAAGCAACTTGTTGTTAGCTCACACACTCACAGGTCACAAATGCATTCCGTGGCTGAATGGTGACCATGCCATGCATCACCTGATACGACGCGGAGCCGGTGCCGAAGACGAAGCCCTTAGGGAAGCTCTGCCTGCCGAACGACGCGTGCGCGCTGCACGCGAGAGCTGCCAGAAGCACAGCGGAGAGGACGACCTGCTTCGCCATGCCACTTCCGGGACCCATCTCAGAGCTCGGACCGTGGTGGCTTGAGACTGGGATGGGATCTACCGGAGCTGAATTGGTGCAACACTCTCAGTTCCCGGCGCTATTTTATAGAGTGAACGGCAAGCAACAAGGCCTCTGCGCCTGCTTCTGCTTGTCCCAGACGAGCTCTGCGTCTTACGAGTACACTCTGTATTACAAGTACCAACTTGAGCCAGAGTAGACATGACTTCAGGGTCGTCTGCCTGGCATTAGGGCAGTCCCAACGCTACGAACTATGGCCCGTTAGTTTCGCTGAAAAAACAAGTCGAAACACTGTTCCGACTGATTTGTTGTGAGAGAAAAACACTATTCCGACTTAAAAACAAGATGAAAAGTACAGATTATAAGAGAAACGAACATGGTCTATATGTAATTTTTATAACTATTAATTTCAATAGACACTACATATAAAAATTATGATCTTAATGGATAGTTTCTATACAATAATTTTTTATTCAATCACATATATTCTCTCTTCATTCTATACCAATCACATCCCTTCATGTCTTGATTCTCGTGTAGATATGATTTCTATCTTAGACCCGGTTTCTATGATTTTTGCTCTCTCTCTTCAATAACCTGTCATGTCATATCAGCAAAATACTTAGGTCGCATTATAATTAATGTCCCTATAAATTATGGTGGTTACTGTACCAGGAGTGTCCTTGCTGGGACGATGCATGCACTTCACGTTGAGATCGAGCCACAGTGCACCTTGTCGATCTCACTGCCCTGAGCAGAGCTTCATAGCCTGTACGCGCGGCTACTGGGTATTGGCTGTCCAATTTGACGAAGAAAGGGAGTGTTCGGTTGCATGAGGTGTACGCTGACACTGCAAATAGTTTCTTATTACACGCGTGCAGATTCAATTCGCGTGGCCCTGATTGGGGTCCTGTTCCTCCCCTAAAGGACAGTGCGCGTCAGAGAGGTTTCAGAATTCAGATACGCGTATCAGAGAGTTGAACTCAGCATAGAAACCGTCGCCAGACCGTTCATTAATGGAATGCATTAGGTGGGTATAGCACATTAGCACTATGGCCCCGTTCTCTTTACTGAAAAGTTACGGCTCTAAAAGTACTGTATGTTAATTTATTGTAGAAGAAAAATAATATTTGTTTATTGAAATAATATAAATTGTAGAAGAAGCAAACAGGAACCTGTAGCTCAGCAGAGCGTACTGTTTTTTTTTAGCAACAGCAGAGCGTACTTTGAGTATGCCCTCGCCCAGTTCGCCTGGAAATCGTCGCGGAAAAGAGGGAATAATCGTGGCGGGCGCAGGTGGCGCAGCGTGTTTGGGCCCAAGTCGTCAGTCCAGGCGCACGTGGAGCGTGGATCCATTTCATTGTACAGTAAGAGAGTGAAAGTTAGGCTTGTTTACTTCCAAAAAGTTTTCCAAAAAATGCCTCCTCCACAAGAATGCTCTCACAGTGCATTACGGTTTAATCTTACGATTGGCTTACTAGTGAAGTGAAGCCCGCCATTAAATGTGAAAGTTAGGCTTGTTTACTTCCAAAAAGTTTTCCAAAAAATGCTACAGTAACCATTACGTCGAATCTTACGATACGTGTATGAAGCATTAAATGTAGACGAAAAAAAACTAATTGCACAGTTTGATTGGAAATCGCGACACGAACGTTTTAAGCCTAATTAGTCCATGATTGAATACTAATTGCCAAATAAAAACGAAAGTGCTACCATACCCAAATTTCCAAATTTCACAAACTAAACGCAGCCTTAGTGGGCCTGTAATTTTCCCCAATGTACTTGTTTTTTTATTATATCGAGATCAAGATCAGATCAAACTTTTAGCCTTTCCTTAAAAAATTTTACTTTTAGCCTTGTCGGTCCTTGCTCGTATGTTTTTTTTTTCAGAAAATTAGGCGGCTGTGGCCCAACCAATAGTCCAAAGGGTAGCTCCTTGGTTGCGTAGTTTTTTTTTTGCAATATTAATATTTTATTGGTCAACGTTTGAATAAAAAAAGACAAAAATACGAAAAAACTGTTACATTCCTTTTCTTCCCAATTTTTCAAAACAATATCACCTTATAAAAAACAATATCCAAGTATTTGCAAAACATCGTGAAGTATTTGGCGGTGTTGTCGGTGATTCCTTCTATCGTGAAACACGTTGACAATGGCTCCATCTCTCACAATCGACACAGTAGCTAAAAAAATAAAAGAACACAAAAACATAAAAGTAGAAGAACTATTCTTTATTCTCTGAATCTGGGTAACTACAGTATAGAGCTCTCATGTATATTTAGTCCACACATAAGCTAAGAGTTTGGTAAGAGCCTGCATAGAGAATAGATTAGGATTAGAGGTCCTTCTTCTTTTTCTTCTTGGTTTGAGTCTATATGTTTACAACTCCCTCCCATGTTTTTACCATGATATGCACATGTTTCATTAAAACTCCATCCGAAAACCCAATAACAAAAACGGTTTTTGGAGAACAAACTCATAACATTCACAAGTTGAATTGCATATGTTGCCCCATTGAGAATGGTTATTGGCAAAAGAGTTTACTCATTGATTTTCATAATCCATTCAAGAAATAAAGGAGAGGTAAATACTAGGATTATATTGTAGTGTTGTAGATGTGTTTACATGTCATTTTTGTGCCGTGCGGTCCATCGTACTAATATCCTAGGCAAAAGGCCCTCACCTTCATGTCGTGTCAGCACATCTAGGGCAGAGCTTTGTTAGGGCCAAGCTAGGCCATGCCCCCTACTCATTTGTCATTTCCATGAATAGTTCCTATAGACGATCCCTTGTCTATGTGTTGAACATTGCTCCTTGGTTGATTAGTGTTTTTTTGCAATATTAACCTTTTATTGGTCAACGTTTGAATAAAGAAAAGACAAAAAACGAACTGTTACACTTTTTTACTACCCAACTTTCAAAACAATATCCAAATATTTGCAAAACATCGTGAAGTATCTACGGTGTTGATGGTGATTCTTTCTATTGTGAATCATGTTGACAACTGTTAACCTTTCTCTCTCTCCATCTCTCACAATCAACACAACAATTCAAGAAATAAAAGGGAGGTAAATACTAGGATTATATTGTAGTGCCGTAGATGTGTTTACGTGTCATTTTCATGCCGTGTCGTCCATCGTGCCAATATCCTGGGCAACAAGGCCCTCGCCTTCATATTGTGTCACCACATCTAGGGGGGAGGTTTCTTAGGGCCAAGCTAGGCCATGGCCCCCTGCTCATTTGTCATGTCCATGAACAGTTCTTTGTTAGGCTTGAAACAAAGTAGCTAAATATATCAAAACTCACTGTTTTTGGTTGTTTAGCCCCCCCTCCCACCACCACCTTGAATATAGTCCCAAGCCCCGTCACTAAGCACGTTCCAAAAAAAATCATGTTGTGCCATGTTTTGGGCCACGACAAAAGGGCATGCTACTGCTTGCTCTCAAATGGCTCGGCCCAAGCTACTACTAGAAACAGTCGCTTTGCCGTGTGACACGAGAACTCGGCAAAGCCCAAAAAACACTCGGCAAAGGATTTGCTGAGTGTAACACTCGGCAAACAGCACACGACATCTACATTGCTGGCAAACGTCTCTTTGCTGAGTGTTTTTTATCGGGCACTCGGCAAACACTTTACCGAGAGCTAAAACCGACGCTCAGCAAAAAAAGTAACGTGACGGATTGGAGACGGTCACGGCGAGTTTGCCGAGTGTTAAATTCCAGGCACTCAGCAAAGCTTCCTCCTTTGCCGTGTGTCACATTCTAGGCACTCGGCAAAGCTTCCTCCTTTGCCGTGTGTCACACTCCAGGCACTCGACAAAGCTTCCTCCTTTGCCGTGTGTCACATTCCAGGCACTCGGCAAACCTTCGTCCTTTGCCGAGTGTCGAATACCAGGCACTCGACAAACACATCCTAGAATGCACAGAATTTTGGCTTCTTTGTCGAGTGTCATAGCGCAGACACTCGGCAAAGAAGCCATTTTAGTCCCAGAATGCTCATAATTTTGCCACGTGTCCACTTTACCGAGTGTATTTTTCATGGCACTCGGCAAATAGCCCTTTTGCGAGTGTAACACTCGGCAAAGCTGCCACATATAATCAGTTTATTTGGTTCGGTCACAGCCACGTACCACATTTAAATAAACATCACATCCATCACAGATAGTTCACAATAGGCATCACAGGCAGTTCATATAGATATATCGACAACATATTAATGCAAATAAACTTCAAAATCACAAGTAGATTCATTCACAACCACAAATAGTCACAAGGAGTCATAGGTAATCCATAAATGCAAATAAAATCACTTAGGCCACGAGGTCCACTACGACCACGCTGGGTCATGAGGCTCATTCGATGCTGCCGATTCATGCTGCACAAAGGAGAAGAGATTGCATGTGTGAGTCAAGATTGAACAACATGTATGGTCTCTCTGCTGCCTAACTAGTATAACCCTTTAACTATCAGCAATATCTTCTCAGTTGCATTGTGCTCTAGTATGATTGCTTAAGTACTAGCTGGTAACAAACATATAGCATTAGTCACTAAGTTTCTAGTGTCTGGGCATCTTTATAAGATTGATTCTGCATAAACTAGAAACGGTGATTATAAGGTTGTAAAGCGACTCACAATGCCTGAAATAGTGTTTGGAGCAGGTTGAGGAGAAGGGACTGGCATCGGTGGCGGAGGTTGACCGATTGCAGCATAAACACCCCTCATATATTCAAACATCTGTAGCT